CTTATATTTCCAATCCTTCCAACTTACCATCTCACTTTCAACTTGCTCTACCTTAAAAATAAGCTTGGGAGATCAGTTTAGAAATTAACATGAAAATGTCAACATGTCTAGATCTGCTTTAGACATGCTACCATTTCTTCTTTATTTCCAACCAAATGTGGTGAATAGATTTACTGGATTGATAGAATACAACAGAAATGGAACAAAATGTCTTTATATGTCAACTTCCTGTTCATGTGAACTGTCATGCAAAAACAATTCAAGCTATGAATATATTATCTACCTGTTTTGATCATCTTCTTTGGAAGTTATAATACCAAATTGTTCTGAAACAGTCCTCACTGAAAGTACAATAGATAAGTTAGTAAGCATATTCAAAGATCCGCTGCATCTTGGTCATCTTAGTTCATTGTCCTAAAGATGTTTCTCTTTACACATAGAGTGATATCAAAAAGACATATCTCTGATTATCACAGTGTGACTTTCATATTGATAATAATAATTATTTTTTATTCAATACGAAAATCTACTACAGAGAGTAATTTTATGATTGTAAAACAAAAACAGAAATAATACTTCACACAACTAATATCACAAATAGATTAAATTAAATACATTAATTATAGAACGAGGAAAAAACATAAGCTAATGTTATTGTTTAGGACAAGCAAAACTAGTACAGTTCACTCCACCAAAATCACGAATAAAACATTGAATAAATGTAACTAAGAATGGAAGAAAAAATACATGAAAATTAGTATAACAATAAAACTACTAAGCTACTAAATATGCCATTACATTAAAACTACCTGCAGACTAATTTGATGGAGTGGCTATGTTTCATCTCTTAAGTTCATATTTGTATTTATGAATTTTGGAGTTTCTATTCCTGCAAAGCTTGTCATAATTAATCAAAATTTTTCTTCTTCATTCATTTTCAAGAAGTCAGATTTTAAACATATGCAAACCTTAAACATGGCACTAATCAACAATCAGGACTTAAAAGAAATGCAGTTAAACATCATTGGGCAGCAATATCCAAAGATATCAGTGTATTCTCAGTGGAGTGGACTTGATTTGTCTTCCATTGAAATGGTATCACACTCACAAACATAAACAAGTGGTATTTTGTAATCAAATTTAATCCTTTATATTTTTAAACTTACCAATTTCATATTTAGTACCAGATAGGTTAATCATGATGGGAAGTTTCTTTCGTTTTGTTTTTTTTTGTCTTTGATTTGAAGAGGAGGATGAAGTCCTCGTCTGTCTTTCATCATCATCATCAAGGCCATTCTCCATCACAGTTGCCGACCTACTTCCACTAATTTTGGCAGATTGTTCACCTGAAGAAAAAGACAACTATTACATAATATTTAATTTATTTTAATAAATTCCCTGTTATGCACAGAATGCAGGTAGGTTTTGGTGACTTGAATTAAAGCCAATATTTTTAGACATCACTTGGTGAAAGCCTCAATGATGTGAATGTCAGCAGGCAATGTGTTAACAAGTATATTTGAATGAGAAATGTACAATGAAACAAGTTTCTGTAATCATAGACCTTAGAAAGAGAAGGTGTATGCTGTAATCAAGGTCACAGTAATCCTTTGTTGTTAGAAGGAGTGGCTGCTATGTATATTCTGTTACTGTCATATGCACTTAGTAAGGTAAACTAGGCAAATAAAAACTTGTCTATTATAACAGGAGCCAAGAACATACAGTTGCACACTGAGATTCATGAAGCTGAAATATCCTTATGCTTAATTCAAATCAAGAGATGTTTTTATTGGTTGTAGCAGCCATTTGGTAACATTTATCACCCATGAGTCATTTGCAAGGTTTCTTCATTCAGAACAGTAAATTATGAAAGCAATCCAGTGTCAAAATAGAGATTAAAGGCTAAATGAATGCAGTTCAGTTTTAGATAGGAGGTATTCATCTGCTACGGCTTGTGATTGGTCAGTTCAGTTTTAGATAGGAGGTATTCATCTACTAAGGTTTGTGATTGGTCAGTTGAGTTTCGGATAGGAGGTATTCATCTGCTATGACTTTTTATTGGTCAATTGAGTTTTAGATAGGAGGTATTCATCTGCTAAGGCTTGTGATTGGCCAGTTCAGTTTTAGAAGGGAGATATTCATCTGCTAAGGCTTGTGATCGTCAGTTCAGTTTTAGAAGGGAGATAATCATCTGGTAAGGCTTGTGATTGGTCAGTTCAGTTTTAGATGGGAGGTATTTAACTGCTAAGGCTTGTGATTGGTCAATTCAGTTTTAGATGGGAGGTATTCATCTGCTAAGGCTTGTGATTGGTCAATTCAGTTTTATTATTTATTTTTTTTCACCAGAATGACCATTATAACAGAACATATAAACAAAATACAATAGTAGTAATTTCGGTGTGGACCATGGAAATAGCCTTTATGGACTAGTCCAGTCCATGGCCCAGACTGTCAAGTAGAAATTTACAATTTACTAGTAAAGAAAAGGAAAACTATTGGTGATTAGTCAATTCAGTTTTAGATAGGAGGTATTCATCTTCTAAGGCATGTGATTGGTCAGGTTGGTTACAATCACCTTTTGAAATTTGTAAATATTTTATATAAAACAATTCATGCCTTCATGAAATTTTTAAAAATCTGCATGAATTTGAGCAAATATCATGAACCAGTAGAATCGTCATACAGCATATGCAAGGCACATAAAATAGTAAATAGAAAAAATAGAACACTGTGGTGTCAACAAAATTACCATACAAGGTACACACAATATCTATTTGTATTTGGTGTTATTTCAAGAATAGTTTCATTGTCAACACTCCTTCGGTTTCATTATTTATTTATTTATTTTTATTTATTTTTTATTAGACGCATAAAATCCTTAGGAAAGGATAAAAAGGGTCTTACAGAAAGAAATTAAAAAAAAACAAAAAAAACTACAATCTAAAAAAGAAAACAAAAAATAAAAACTTTTCTAAAAAAAAACAAAAAAAAAACAAGTCAAAAACAAAAAAATACAATTTGCAGCCAATGGTGAATACAGAATATAGAATGAACACAAAATGTGGCCTAATACACTGATAGTTGTTGCTGTTTTGTTCCATGGCTGTTTTTTAGGAAGACAGCTAAGGCTGGTGCTAGAGTATGGTTTGCCATAATCAAAATGAATTTATTCTGACTATTTTCTTTATCAAAATTTGGAATTTTATTTTGTGCAGTCAGGAATAATTTGTCCCTATGGTGACTGTAAACTGGACATTTCATTACAAAATGTTGCTCATCCTTAACTATATTTTGGCTGCACATATCACATGTTCTTTTATCCAGCGGCACATTATTATGTCTGCCTTTCTCAATTTTAAGGGTCATGGTTGCTTGTCCTGAATTTTGCAATTAACCTTCTAAGACCATGGTTCTGCATATTAATTAGGTAATTTTCAATTTTTAAATCTTGTTTGAAAAGTCTGTATGTTCTTAGTTTGTTTTTAGCCAAGGTTTGTTTTCTATTATCATTATGCATGTCTAAGATCCATTGGTTCTCAAATGATTTGTTTATTTTTTTATGAATAAAGTCTAAATTTTTCTTAATTATGTTTTCACTTGAGTTTACAATGGTGACAACATCTAAATCTTGCATGAGGGTTTCTACACTTGTAAACCATTTACTTTTTACATTCTTGTTTACTAAGTAGGCTTCTCTTAGTAATGTGTTATCAGAGTTTGTTACCCGGTTGAAATATTTAAGTTGTTGTTTCTTGATAAAACAGTCAATAAGGTACCTTCCTAGCTCACCATAAACAGCCATTTTTGGTGTGAATTTTGAGAGACCAAGAATGAACCGACAAAATGAAAGATGGACATCCTCAATTGCAGACTTAGTTGTGCTTTCATCACCCCAAACATCACTACCATATACAATAATTGATCTTAATGTTGGACAGAATACCATGGGATTATATATAATAATCAAGTACAGCAAGCAACTTAATAAATTAAAACATGCGGCATACAGATTATCATAGAGAATACCAGCTGCAGCATTTTTATTGAGTCATTCTTTTCTTTCCCTAATATCCGAGTACTTCCTGTAACTCGGTATATATAGTATAATATTAATTTACACAAAAAATACAATGGATTCAATTTACTGAACTATTGCTACAGACTACAGTTGGAACCAGTAATAAACAAAAACTGGAACTGTTTTTTGGGGGGGTTGGGGGGTTGGGGGGTTGGAGAGGTATTAATGACTCATTGTTTTTTTCCCGAATATTCGACTACTGGGGTGGAGACCTTCAACATCAAAGCAGTCAATATAAATACAAAGATGAATATTTAGAAAATATAATTAAACAGTTTTAATGATTACATTTTACAAAATGTATAAGCAATGTGATATGGAAGTTAAGAAAATTTGGAAAACTGCTGTTGAAAAAAAAAATTAAGGAAAATGAACATTGATTTTGCAAATTATCAACAATATTTTTTGAATTAGTCAAAACAAAATTGGGAACCATCAATTAGTTTTCAAGTCGAACTTTCACACAAGTCAAAACATTTCATTAGTATTCAAAATGGCTGAAATTTCAGGCTTGAATGATGGTAACAATTGGAACAGGAATTACCTCAAATACCCACTAGTTTTATGTTATTTTAGGATACCTGAAATATTTGAAATAACTGTCAAAGTAGGGTTAAAATGCTATAATTGTCTATAGGTAAATCACCAAGACACTGTTTTCCTGATTTGCATTTACTTTTTGTCATTCATTTTATGAAACCTTTTACTAGTTAGCTGAATTCATTCTAAACATTATGAAAATAAAATAAAAATACAAACGAAAAAGTGTCTTCTTATTCTATTTTGACCCAAATACTGTAGTAAGGGGCAATCATGAACAAAACAGTTAAAACTTATGAAATTTATGATACCAGTAATCATACTCTAGCATTTGTTCACTGACCTGCATTGCAGCAGTTAACTAACATTTCTGAAATCTTAATCTAAATCTATAAGCATTGAGACATGTGTGTTCCAACATGAATAAAGAAACAACACAAAATAGTTAATTTGATTGGAATATAAGAATATGCTAGGTAGCTTACCTGTAAATCGAGAAAATTACACCAGTATAGAGCAAACTGCATGTTGTGTTTGTTTTACTGATAGTTGTCAGGAAACTAAATCATTTTACTTACTACAAAAAGCATTGTTGAGTTCCTCAATGGTACATCAATTATGGATGATGTCGCCTTTCATTATATTATCTAATTTAAATATTAAATCACGAACTCAGAGAATAGCGGTTAACTTATGCAGCTGGATATTGCAGTTATTATTTGTTGTTGTGCTGGACTATCATCAGCGTTTTTTGGGAATATTTTGAGCCAGGCAATAGTTGTTTCAGTTTATTTTATTTTTTATTAGTATTAAGCATACATCTTTTAACTAGAAGGTAGAAGGTTGGAAGGGTATCCTGACAGGTAGAGGATTGGATGGGTATCATGACAGGTAGAGGGTTGGATGGGTATCATGACAGGTAGAGGGTTGGATGGGTATTGTGACAGGTAGAAGGTTGGATGGGTATTGTGACAGGTAGAGGGTTGGATGGGTATCCTGACAGGTAGAGGGTTGGATGGGTATCCTGACAGGTAGAGGGTTGGATGGGTATTGTGACAGG